ATCGTGGACCCTTGGGATATATCTCTTTGATCATCCTTGTGCTTTGCAAGTAGCCACAGGCAAACTAAATGAGCGTACATCTCATTCATCCACCTTCGCTAATACCTAAGCTAAGATCCTCTGACTGTCCTGGATTGAGGCAGTGGGGTTTACTTTCTTCCTACACATCTCGCCGATAAACGAGTTGACTATTGGCAAACAGATAAATTAATAATACTCCGTTTTCAACACCTCCAGATCACTAGAAAGATGATTACATAGCTTGTTTGATCTTGGTTCAGCGAAGTTAATTAGAATCCCCACAAAATAACATCTTAATGCTCTATAGTATTCAACTATGTGGAAGTCGGTGAAAACACTTCTCGCATTCAAATACATGTGTGGACGCGGCTTATTTACATAGGCAGCTTAAATCGTTTCTAATCCAATACAAAAACAGGTGCCTTTTTTTTCATTGAACGCTATCTCATTTCACAACGTAGCGTTTTTCTAAGTCTACACACTCTTCCAACATGTGGTGCCATCCTATTCGTTAGTTAACTGCTCTAAAAGAACAGCTGCCAGCTCAGGCTGAAAAATACACATCTACAAATGTAGAGGTCTCCTCATTCGATGAAGGTCTGTCTTCAGTATGAACTTCGAGCCTGAGAAAGAGCAAGTCACTAGGATCAGGGATACGGTGGACGGTCAATTAATTCAAACTCTAAATCGTAAATTTTTGATTATGGTGACCACTAAAATATCGGGCAGTATGTTGATTTGGTAAAATAGCACTTTTTTTTTTTAAATGCGGCCGTCTTCCTGTCTTTAACTTATCAAGTAATGACGCGTAATGTGCCTTCGATATTGATTTCCCTTTTTCAACGTAGTCACCATCGCAAAAAAACAGTCCCTCCATGCCGATGGAGCAGCCCTCGCCTTCTTGGGGGCCGATTTAGCTTTCGCCTTCGAGTGCGCTTTGCTTCCAGAGGTGTAGCAGTGCATCCACGGGTCATTTATAGTTCTCATTCGATAGCAAATCTCCGATTCAGTGCCCCTAAATCGCGACAAGAGGACTTTGGAAGTGTTCATTTGAAATCGTTTTTGATTCTGAGTGAGTAAGCCTGACTGGCACTCAGCTTGCGGTTAGCTCTTTCATGCCCAAATCCTCAGGCAGCATATAACAAACGCATTTCATTCATAGCCCTTGCCGTTCTTCTAACCTTCATTTCATTCCAACTTAGTTCGATTGGAGTTTCGACATATTTATAATCGACACGCTTAGATTCAGCTATCGAAAATTTCTTAATGATAAACAACTGAGAACAATGGTTCTTACACAAATGTCTATTTAGTGTAGGGACCGGCCAGAGACCTATGCGGGTGGAAATTGTACTTGACGCGCATATGTTTAGCCATTTCTCTTATCGGATATCTGTTTATAAAGAGGTATACTTCTGATTTTATTGAATCAAGTTCTGCAGAATGCCACTTGACCGACGAGTCCTTATATACAATGTAGCGAATCTGTAGACTCATGATACTTCTATTATGGCCTAACTGGGAAGTACCTGACACATTGGAACTATGTTGGTGTTTTTCTCGTTTATCATTACAAGCAGTTCGAAAATAGAGAGACCGTCCGGTTTTTAACGAAGCCACCTAAACTCCAAACAGGGTAGTTTCGTGATTACGGAATAGACGACCTATTTTATTACTACCTTTTCATAATGGCATGCCTGAGTGGGACCTTTTCATTTTTCGAATAGTAGATAGCCTTTTTTTTTAGCTAGTGCTGTATTGGCGCACAAACATTATCGGCCCGGTTATAGATTTGCATACTGAATACCTGTCTGACCGGGAATATTAATAGGAAGACCAATTGAAGCCTAGCAACGAATTATTCATTGTCTCCCTAAAGTGCAAGGTGTTTTAACCTTGGAAAACTGCAACGAGGTCAAGCCAGCATTTGTGGCAACCCTCCCCATATGCATCTAAAGGTAATCTTACTTGTTGCTCAATTTACAGGTACATTTTACTTTGTGTCCTCGATGGATAATACAATGGCTCTTTTACCATTGATAGTCCACATCGTTTTAATTTTTCATTAAGGCACATGATCGACATACTATAGGCTTTCTTCATGGATAGGTTTCTTACTTGACGCAATCAATTTTACGGAACATTGCAATAATAAGGGTAATAGATGTCGCCATTGTCACATCTATTTCAACGTTTACAGCCGGTTCCACGATTAAGTGAAGCGCTCTCAAACTATAGCCAAAGCATTAATAGTAAACGAACTCGACACAGCTGAGCCCATAATTTTTTTTTTCTGAGCCTTTCAACATCCTATTTCAATATCGTCGACAGGCTTACTCAAATAACATTATTATTACCACAGCGGTGTCGTATAAAAGGGCTTTCTTTGATATAGAGCCCATATGCAAAGCGTACCCAGGTCGCCGAAGGCTACAAACTGTAAAAGTTGCATTGAAGCCAAATTTTATGATCAATAAATTCGCGGCCAGTAGCGAAGTCAGCCAGGACGCGAGCCTTCGTAAAGGGCCATGGAACGGATAATGAGCAGGTCAGAAAGCAAGTGAATGCGCAAGCACATAGCAGTCAACGAACAGCGGTGAGAAGAGCCGATGCCAGATGATTAATGAAGCAGCGAACGTTTGCTTCTGTCACACTGTCAGCCACCGCTTAGTATTGTATAGCAGCGAGGTTTGACTGGCGGCGGTGAGACGAGATGGCTTTGATGGAACAAATCTGTTTCACTCCATATTGCCTATCGCATACGAACACGTACAGGAACGCTTTATTGACATAGATTTTTAGCTGTACACATGCACATGACGGCATTTACTAGTATCTGCTGCTATACAAAACTCTCGAACACGCTGAGCTCGAAGTAGCTCGGGGCCGCTCAGCGGGAAGCTACACAATTATTAACTCCCGATTATGTGGGCGGAATCGACTGCAGCTCCAGTTCCCCTATCTGACCATCGGTTCAGAGGTTTATACTGGTACAGTTAAAGTGACTCGTGCTTTTTCCCTTCTTTTCCCACAGTTCTTTTACATTTACTACTACAAGAGCTACACAAACATGTCGAAAGACACGTAGCCTCTGGCGTGTGCACGTATCTTTCGACTGCTTCCCCAAGTTAGCTTTGTCCCCGCCTTCATCTCACACAGAAACCCTGTGAAGATTCTTAAGATTTACATTAACTCTTAAGTCCCTTACAAAAGATCAACTGTGGCTATTCCCCATGAAGTACTCAGGCTTTGTGATATTGCTTGCCGGTTAAAAGAGATACTGTGAATTGAAATCACAGTATCCCAGAAGATGCTACTGTTTACCACGGATTTATAGCCATCACCTCACTGCTAGGACAAATTTCTACGATGTATGTTTATTCGGTTTTGGGCTCCGATTGTATCTAATCCTCTCGTTTCCTCTACTAATTAGCTTATTCGTGGCCGACAGTATCGAAACGAACGGTGTGTGTAAAAAGATACCGGTTTGAATGTGGCCAAAGTTTTCGACCGCCTGATCATGTTGTTCTCATGCAACTGTTATTTTATCTTGGGATCTCTGGCGATACTTGCAGCTGGTTTACAGGCGGCAATTCAATAAAGTCGATATTTCGGGCTATCAAGCGGAACCCACGCAGCCTCTCAAAGGCATCCCCCGGAGCACGGTCCTAAACGCTTCTGTTCTTTGTTATTTCCGGGCAAGCAAAACTCGTACATTTCTATAGAGTTGGTGCTGGCGGTGGGTAGTCTGTCGCCAATGATTTCGCATAGGCTAACTGTTTCCATTATATCGCTCCCTAAAGCTTGCACTGATTACGAGTAAAATAGAAGCGATTCTCTTTAAACACTGTCCTAGGTTTCATTTCAGGTTAGCAAGCATTGTAGTTTAACGATTCTGTGCCTTTACTTAGTTTCGTCCTACAGATTTGTCTTAAAAACCCTATACCAATCGCATTCCATCTTCCAAAATGTCTACGCGTAATAGCAATTTTCTGTCTTAGTTTTTTCTTAAGATTTTAGTATCTCTATAAATATCCCCGTCTCTTTTGTTGTAATGCGGTGCTCTAGAGGGCTAGTCATAGCTTTCAAACTTCGCAACTCAAGTCTTATAGAAAAATATGCATCGTACCTCATTCCTCCATGTTTTCGTTGCCGAGTGTTTCGTATGCCCCTCCAGACTGCCTCCAGCTCGTAGCTTAGCAATTACTCTATGAGAACTCCGTTTTTATTTTAATAATTCTCGAGTGCTGTGCCAATCTGCCCGCTACGTGCTCGAATCTCGTTCAGGCCCGACCTGTGTCGCCCGCTACTATCGATTCTCCATTATCAGCAATTCTCTTTTCAACTGCACCAAAAAAATTCATTATTCCGATTCTACTGGATCTACCATCGGATAATTTTTCTATCATGTTTTTCAAATCCCATTACTAGCTATCTGATCTACAGGTCTAGGTACTTTAGGTGTAGACGCTGTAGTTGGCTTTGCTTGCTTTGCCAACGTTTGTTAGTAAGGTATGCTAATTTACTTAAAGGTTCAAGCCGGTGACTGCCTAGCCTTGACATCCGAGCACTATTTTGAAGCCCTCTGATATATCAAATAGATTTATCATTTACCAAGGATTCATACTTACCTTTTCCGATAGACGATTACCGTCATTACTGCCAAACCGAGGTGCGCGACCACAGGTTTAATCGTATATAACACATTCATAGCTCTCAATATTCTCAAGGCAGACTTTTTTCATCTCCGGCAATATATAGCACGGTCGTCATAGCCCAGCTCATTGATCCAGCGGCCGGTTATCTACAAATGTGGCCCAATACGATGAACGTGTACCTGATTATGCCAGAACGTCGATTTGCCACTCAGTTACTGACTTTCGTAAAATGTTAACATTGAGTTAAATGAATTCATCAGCGTTCATTTACTTATTTTTAGTAGTAAACTTATCTTTTTATGTTTTTTACTGTTTCTACAGCGTCGATTACCTACACTGCTGTTATTCGGGGCAAAGTGGCTTTACCGTGTAACATCGAGCCACCAACAGCCGGCGATGAAGTAGTGCTCGTCCTGTGGTACAAGGTAAGTTGAAATATTCCCTTAGAGCTTGAGGTAAGTTTATTTGCAATTGCTCTCCAGCATTCTGCTTGCTAGCGAAGGCCTTAATAGGTAGCTTCACTATTGTCGGCCAGTTAACTGTCGTGTCTTGAAAAATAAAGTTTTGCGTATATCAGTATAACATAATTATGCGTTCGATAGAACAGTGATCATAAATAGTTTATAGCATGCTCTGTTTCAATGGATACATATCGCTAAATTGGTCGGCAGTACGATTTGTAGCGGAGGCGGAAATAAACCGGCCGACCGTACCTTAAGTTCATTCCCTAAATAGCTACGCTGATTTCAGCATGTACGTATATTTAAACTCCGACAATTAACGCATACCACTGAATAAGAATACTGAAAAGGCTTGGTCAAACCAGTTTGAGAGTAACTTAGTTGAGTAGTAAGTTATTAAGGCTTTATTGATGATGAACATGGCGAGCTAGCTACCCCAAGAATATTGAAACAAACCATTGCGAAAAAGCACGTCTCATTGTCAAGCCGTAAGTGTATTTCAATATCAAACAAAGTAGCACAGCACTGCCTTTAACTTATCTGATGCGTTTTTTCTTCTTTAATGTTCAGTATTTAGGCCGTTAAGCATTTTCTCAGACAGCTGGCCCCTACCAGCACGAAGCGAAATGTGCTATGCCCTGGATTCGAGCCAAAAACCATCGTGTGTCGCTAAATTAAACAATAAAACATGCTACGCTTTGCGCTACCATGGTGATTTTATTTATTTGGCGTGAATCACATTAACTCGCCTTAACTTAGATCACGAAAACTTCTTCTCTGGCGCTTATTGGTGCGTGGCTGTCGCGTTTCCGCGGGTGCGGCGGCTTGCACCGATGTGTTTACTTAGTATGATTCACGCGCAGATAACGTTGCTGAATGTTTCCCGCGGGTGCAAGAATGGAAAACCCACAAGAGAGGACTAAAGTAGGATCACATCGAATATCACAAGGTATACGCCGATCGGTTTCACTGGTCGTAAAGTGGTAGGGGCAAAGACGTTTGCGTCTTTGTTCTGCGGTGGTAAATGTCAGAAGATAGCGAACCCATTGAAAGCTATTATATACAACATACGTAGTTGCGAGTGGATCTTACCTGGACGGGAGGGTGGTGTCGTACCAAAGAGAAACACTTATTTGAATGAAACACTATATATATTCTATTAGATAGTCAGTGATATTGTGTGATGGAGTATATTTTAATTCCTACGTGTGCAGTCAACTAAAAGAAAGATCGATACACGCAGAAATAGATAAGATTCAGTCAGCGTGCATTTCAAGTTAAGTACGGATTTCTTACTTTGGCCCTACACAGAACAGCGATACCAAACATTTCTACTCCCAGAGCTCTAATTGTAGGCGAGCGGCCTTTTTGTGGGCGAGTCTTTTCAGCGTCCTATTCTGCTTACTTCGAAAAGAGTTCGGGCAACACAAAGAAGCGAGCTCAACTATGTATTTTTTTAATGACGTTCCTTAACTATACAAGCAATATTGTCAAACGCAACTGTAAACCTTAACCGATTCAAGTCATTGGGTTATGCAAAAATAAATTTGCCAAAAAGAGACATTCGGACAAAGCTAGTAGAAATGTAATGCCACAAACAGATAGACGCTGGCTCTAAATGATAATTTTACTGCTATTACCATATAGATACCATGACCAATGTATTTGATAATTTGTACAGACCTACTTTTTTGACTGCCAGCTGGGATGTTCAGGATAATTCGTATTAAAGGTATATAATTCTGAATAAGGCGTTCGGTTACTGTAATCTTTACAGCCGCCGCTAGATAATTGTTATCGATGGCCAGAGAGCAGACGATTGTTAGAAAGCCCTTTCAGATATAATGCGCTTTTATTTTCTAGTTGTAATTTTATCTAGTATATGTGAAACTGTGACAAAATTTCTTGCCAACGCAAAGGAGCATTTTTTCGAAATAAGGGACGTCTACAGCCATGCTTAGAACATAGCTATGTTCTGAGCTTTTTTCAGATAATAAAAATTGTTTACCTTGTCGTGTTTTCATTGAAGGACGATATTCCAGCACCTATTTTTACATTGGACGCTCGCCGGGGCGATAATTTGGAACGGGCTCCACAATCGACGCTCAGCGACCTTGGCAAAAGAGCCTACTTCAATATGGCGAATAAGCCCGCATTTCTTCAGGCAGGTTTAGCGATTTATTTATTTTAACATTTAACACTGCTAGGTAAGTTTGAGTTCTTTCAGCAGTCGGAAATAAGATAAGTTACATTCTTGTATGTTTGGCATAGTGTTTCCTTTCTAATTTGTATGGTTCATGTGTATATTTGTGTATTCCGCAGATCACTATTCTATAGATGAAACACAGTTGTAAGATAGTTCGTCGATTAAGTATCAGTTCAAGCCGGCGTATATCTGTCGACAATTTTTGTATGTAACAACCGGAAATCACGGTCGGAATATATCCTACGTGACAAAGGGTGCCACGACTAGCAGGAATCACTCACTATGATAAGGGTAGACATATTCTATAGCAATATAAAATAATATACAGTACTTCTACAAAGATCTTCTTCTCGACGGGTGATCGTACGCTAAACTAACATAGTGAGATAAACCGTTAGCCAACATTTGCACGTTATACTAGAGAACTTTCCATCCACGATTGACCCCCCATTCATCCACTTTCTTGCCAACAGGTTGATCCTGTACAGGAAGGCGACGCTGGAGAATACCGATGCCGAGTTGACTTCAAGCGAGCTCGAAGCATCAATACTGTTATTAACCTCCGAGTTATCAGTATGTGATTTAAACTACAAATACAGCTATCTGGTACAACGATGTTTTTTTAATTATCGAAATTAAATAGTAAAAATGGAAAAGATGTGCACCGAATCCCAATGTGGGTGACATAATTGGTACTACCGCGGAGGACTTTGGACGGGTCGATGTGAAAAGCAGATTAAAAGCATGTCCAGCTTGTGATACTGCCCATTGTAAGACAATGACTTACTTTAAGACAATACTTTTACAATACTTTTGAGACAATGACGCGGTTTCTTTCAAGAACCTATCTTAATATCGTTTCTTGTTACAGTTCCATCGGGTGAACCGGTAATTTTTGATGAAGAGGGCACAACCCGACTAAGGGGATTAGTCGGGCCTTTCAACGAAGGCGATCCGCTCGTACTCGTGTGCCAGTCTGAACAGGGTAGAATCATACGAGTCACATCTTGAATATTAAGAAAAAAACGCAAATATTATTTAGCATTATCCAGTAAATCATATGTTGTTACGAAAATAATAAATGACAACAAGTAACTGCCGCATTGACGCTAGCGAATGATCTCTTTATAGGAAAACCACGACCGTCCGTCACCTGGTGGAAGGACTACCGTCTTTTGGATGATTCGTACTTCTTCGATGCTGAAGATAATCTCGTCAAGAACGTTCTCGAGATCGAGGCACTCACTCGAGACGATCTCCTCTCAGTCGTCATCTGCCAGGCATCGAATAACAACATTACGGTTCCTAGTCCTGTGTCTGTTACGCTCGATTTGAACTGTAAGCGTTTATGATGAATCCAGCCTATCCCATCTGGATGAGAATCATTATCATGATACTTTACGGAACTCTCCTCGAAATGTTGATACGAAATGCTCCAGAAGCTTGCATACCGCCGTTCACCTTTGCTAGCATTCGTCTTCTTATAATTTGCGCGTTACAACCTCACTGCTTGCGCTCTGGCTTATATATCCAGTGGCAAACGCAAGCGCCGCTCAGATGACTCTTAGACCACTTACAGGTTCATAGTTTACCAGCCATAGACAAACTTCTCGTCACATAACTTTTTGCGTGGAAGGAAGTCATATCTGGGGGTGTTTAGCTCGGGGCTTCCAACTACAATTCTATACCAGAAGCTCTCAAAGACGATTTAGATGGACAGATTTAGCGTTTCTAAATGCCTGCTTGGTCGAGAATGATATAAGGTACGTTTCAAGTACGCTTCATGCTGTTCGCCAGCGGTGCAAGAATGAGCGTTTTGAATTTTACGACTGATATTGATGTTAGTTACGACGGATGGCCCTCAGCGCGAAACAAAACGTATTTATAGACGATTTCGAAGCTAAATCTAGTAGGTATGATACACTGAGCGCAGACATCAGCCCGTATAAAACTCCATACGGTGCTATTTAGATCATAGAGCACGCTACCGACTACTCTATCATCCCTCATTTATGTATGCTCGAAACCTAGCATTACTTTCGTAAAACATAAATTGTCACGTTTACAAGATGAGGATTGTCAAGAGATTCGCTCACCTTGACCCCTTCAATTCCGCGTCTGTTTTTGGTAAAATTCACAGCAGACGGTGCACTCTCGTATGCCATCCCCCAGTTAATTTTCTATGCTGCTTTTACAAATAGTAGAATTTAGTAAGTTCGGGTTAAGATAGTACAAATTTTTTGCAAATGTGGTAGGGCATCTTCAACCTAGTGGACTCTGTGAGACGTATCAATGAAAGCCAGAACCAAAACTGGGAATACCTTTGAAATTCGTAAAGCTAATCAAAATAAGTTAGTACAAAGCTTGACTGGCCACGTATTAAAAACGCATTTCGTACGCCTCAGGCTGCGTTCTCATAACATAACGCGCATAGGAAATTAGAATGCAGCAGAAGCTGAAAAGTTTTTGCGCTACAAATTAGCAGACGTTACAAATGGTTATTTCGCCAAATGATCTGCAGCAGCCTGATTCGTATATGTAGCGCATGTCCTACTATAATATGCATCCTGAAGTTCTGCGAGTGTCCGTTGAAAGGTTTTCACCTACATAACAATACAGATGAGACATCCGTGTCTTGTGTTTTGTAAGCAATCAGGCTTTGGTAAGGCTACCGTGGCCTATAGATACTCAACTAAATACTGGCCCATTCCACCGGAGCAATATTAAGCGACTTTTCAAACGACTAAATAGGTTAATATAACCTGGATTGTATCAATTCCTAGATGCACCTACATCTAAATGAGCAGCAGTCTTCTTGGATAAAGCCAATATAAGCCACGTAGCAGGCTTATTTATTTGCGAAAAACAGCTGGCTAGAGATATAGGTAGTTAATTTTTTTGTAACTTTATCTTGTATATCGCAGTGTAAAAGTCCTCCTGTTATATTGTAGTTATTGGCCTAAGTTCTATGAATTAGAAATTATTTCCTCATAATTCGATCTAGAAGAGGAAAAAAACTTTGACATTTTATTTCAATTACTTATAGTACGATGAATGTAAATTCGTAGAACCGATTACCAATTCAAGCTTCAATTCAAATAGAACCTCGCTGTACTAAAGACCTTCGCACTTACTTTAGAAACCATTGGAAAGAGGCCGTACGGGGCGGTCTATTTAGTTTAGACACATAAAACTCTAATTCAGTCAGCCAGGTGTGGGAATTATCATAATTAGTTGTGTTAGACAATTAAATACTAACTGAATTTACGCTTTTCAATTTTGCAGTGAAGCCCCTTGATGTTTCAATTGAACATCCTCCATCACAATTATCTGCAAATCAGCAGGTCCTGTTGAAGTGCACTTCCTCGGGATCAAGGCCGGCTGCCAAGCTCAGTTGGTGGATGAGCGGACAACAGTTGAAAGCAACCCGTGAGGATGAAGCCTCCCTGAAGAGTTCCTCCTCCGTCCTCATCATAACGCCCACAGCCGACGATAACGGTAATTTGCTAATCTTGAAATTGCTGACTTCTTATCTATTTCAATTTTGAAATGAACGCTCTTAAACTTGGCATCGGCATGTTTTTAGGAGTCGACCAATTTAGCTTCAATGCAGCTACAAGCGTGTCTGGTGAAGTAACATATCGCTCTCTTGCATCTCTGTATTTGTGAGAGGGAACATACTGTGTTACATAATTCTCCTATTGATGTTTTCCTTGTACAGGAAAAATGATCTCCTGCCGAGCAGAAAACGCACTTATCCCGGGAAGTGCCCTCGAGCATGGTCTACGACTCGACGTGCATTGTGAGTAGGCCCAATGCCTGTCTATATAAATACTTTAATGGCATGAACAATAACAACAGCAGCGTAAAGAAAATGAAGTCGTATGTCGTGCTACCATATACATCATGTTGGCATCCGCTAACAATGCGAAGCCTTTTCTAAACGAAGCCGACGGGCGAGAAACTAGCGTAACCAAAAAGTGTCCTTCGTCCCACCAACAAACAACAGTAAACCCACAAGGGCCTGTTGTTGACAGTTGTGGGTTGTCCTTTGCACGAATCCGCCTCGTAACCTCCTTTCATCCAAATACTTATATATTTCTATATAACCATGCGTCCTACGCGTAGCTTGCCGTTATCACCATTGTTATTGTTACTGTGCACACCGTTTAGATAAAAAGATGACATGACTAAAATGTAGGTTCTTCTGTAAACAACTCAATATGACGTTCAGAAAGTTCCGTCCGTGACCTATAGGCAATTGGCGGACCCCGTCGCACGGCAACTCAACGAACACGACCTCTGAGCCCATTATCCTTGCATGTACGCCTTCTATGCGGCTAGAGTTGCAAGTATAAATTTTGACATTACGAAACTAAGGTTATATGCGGTGTATTTTAGAATAACGGAAATGATCCTTGCCGACAAAGATGGCTAGTGGAATATCCGAGGCATCAAAATAGTGTTGCCTACATCCGAGTAACCCACTACCTACGCTGAAAATTAGCGGTTACCCACCCGCTAAAAAGTCAGTAACTATTTTGTATTGCTTTGTACCAGTAGCTTTGGGCGCAGTCTATACAAAAACGTTTCAATCATGCAATGAATGCTTTTGTTTGCCATACCGATTAGGGATTCCTACTACATCTATCGACATCTACGTATCAACAATTTTAAATGATTTAGAAGATCTGCTTTACATTGCCACTGATGTCCAAGTGCATTGTATTCTTTACACAGTCCAATTTTTTCTGCTAGTTCCTGTTGGGACCATGTCAAGGATAGCGGCTTGTTCAAAAGACCAGCAGGTCGGGCCAGTTTGCTCGATACAGCCTTGGGGCCTGCAAGCGTCAGGGTAGTTGAGAGTGCGTAAACAGGCACCTTTTATAGAAGGAATGACTTGGTGTTTCTTTGCATGCCTGTACTATTAGTTGCCGGGGAGATGCTTAGCTCGAAGCTACCAGAGGGCCAGCTGATGTCCTACAGCTTCTACGGCAAGGTCATGCAAGCGATCATATGTTAGGTTGTGCGTTTATTTTTTGCACAAATAAATCTAAAAAGATAACTACCGTATCTTTTGGTTAGTAAAAGCAAATGCATTTCTTGCGACTCTGTGTGGCTGTGTAATGGTTTCTCAGCAAAGTGTCGTACTATATGTACGCATATGAAACATATAAGCTGAATAGCGTACGTATAAGCATATTTACGTATTTAAAAAGACTTCGAAATCAAAAACCTAGTTTTTTAACCCCAAATCTAGCCTCCCCTCACTCAAAACCTGCATTTCTAAACAGAATCAACAATTTCCTATCTTTGAGACTGCGTGTGTTCCCTGACCCTCGTGAGGCTCCCAAGGGCTAACGATGACAAATGGTGAAGTCTTTTCCTTCAATATATATATATATATATATATATATATATAGAATTACAAAGGTATTGCTTGTTGGACACTTTTGAATCCCTGTTCAGGAGATACACACCGATGTGTCAGGCTAACACAGAAGAGAGAGAGAGAGAGAGAGAGAGAGAGAGAGAGAGAGAGGTCTGGACCAGGCGGTCTAGGTAGCAAAAACATATTTTTGAAGCCCTTGGCCGAGAAAGTAATGTCTTACTAGGATAAGTCTGCTTGTATACAATTTTTGGCTTTTGCTCGTATAGTAGCAACTGCGTTAGGACATGCCAAGACATACTTTAGGTTCGAAAAATAGAAGAAAAATCCTACAGATACTGCGTATGCTATAGTTTTCATAAATTAAGTTCAAATTTACGTTGTAATTAGTATTGTATTTGTAAAATGTTACTTGACATTGATCCACCCTATCTGAGACACTTACCGATAAGTTATATAAAAATTAGGTACGTTATTTTTGTGAACGAAATCGTACGTCATAGATTACATATTTTAATTAAATTATTTATCGAGTTTCTATGGACGTTCCAGATCCTCCGGCAGCAACGCTAGAATTGGCTTCGTACATCAACCCGGAAGATATCCGCGAGCAGATGGACATACGACTTACATGCCACGTTACAGCTAACCCCCAACCAGTCAATGTCACCTGGCTATTTGAAGGTTGCTAAACTTTTCTAGTTCACTGTTTTTATACTTTCCATTTGCTATAATGAGTGGATCTGGCAAATACGCATGGCCTGTATATATATATATATATATATATACAGGAAGAGCGAGTCAATAGTTTGAGGATATCATGAATAAATATAAGTTATTAGAAACAATTTTTAGTTGATCCGTGCATCATGTCAGATGAGATGATCACTGATCCTACCGCTGGATGGAGTTTGTGTAAAGGACGTATATAGTCTTGGCCTAAATAGCTCTCGTCTATTTCCGCCAGCGTATTTACCTTAGTTATATATTTTGTGAATACTCTAGAATCTAAATCTAGAAATCCAAAAAAGAAGAGAAACATCTGAGCGTATAATATTTCGCGTTCTCAACAGACTTCAATATGCAAGTTGTCCTTTCATACCCATCACACAAATTCTTGCTATATATACAATGCTTGAAGACAAATGAAGTCAGTAACGGCCGGCAAGGCTGGCGATTGAATTGATTTACATAAATAGTACATACGACTTTATGTGAGTATCACTGCTGTTTGCGATAATTCAGTGTTCGTGTATGAAGTTCATGACGTGACACTAGACATTAAGGAGCTGTGATCATCAGGCCTAAACGGCGTTCCGTGTAAATGATTTTTTGTCCTTATGAGAAGTATGCGCACATATTAACATGTTACTGTCTGTTATTACGAAGTGAAGTACTTAAGCAAACCCTACACGAGCTTACGCTACTGTGATCATTCGCCATTTTCGACGCGTACATGCAATAACAAAAAACTTAGTTACCTCTGCTGACGCTTTGCCGTTAGCTCCATTGTAGTAACTTTGGCCTTGGCGAAGGAAAAATAAAGCGCCTAGTTCTAAATATTAACAGACGTCTATTTCGTAATATTTTTTTTAAACAGGTGATCGTCTCCGTACGGACCTTTTACCGCGTGTAATTCAAAGCTCAACGGGTATTCTTATCCGTCGGATTCAACGAGTGCATCGCGGCCGATACATGTGCCAGGCCGAAAATTCACAGGGAAGAGGCACCAGTAATGAGATCTACCTTAAGCTCAAATGTAACTCGTAGATGAACTCTTTAGGTTTTTTTACACATTTAGTTATCTTATCGCTTTGGATGGTTCTAAACGAAACAAATCCTCGTAAATCTGCCATTCGTTCGCTTCGACTGCACGGGTCAAAATATTAGCATAATATCTGATAACGGTTTAAACAATTTTCATCATTGTACACATGTCAAAATGCAGGAATCACCTAAGACATAACGCCGCAGAGTTGCTCTTCGCTAGAGAATTAGTTTAAGCTAACTTCTGTTGTCAGAGGTTCCATTGCTTTTCATCAGTAGTATGAGAGTCCGCAAAAAGATCGCCAAGCAAATACGTATCTTCCAGCGGGCTTTTTGCATCCTGCATCAGTCCGTACCTGATCAATTCACTCTAACGCTGTAGAACGTTTGATTTGCGTGAGAACTTTTCACCAGCCAGAGGGAGCTAACGGGCACTGTCAGAAAATCGCTAGTGAAAAGGCGCAGAGCTTTTTATATATGTCAATGCGGCTTGCCTGTTTCTTTCGACCGAAAATAGATGCACATTGGACACCCGCTTAAAAGCTTATGTTGCAATAAGACTGGCTGAATTATCTTAATTAGTAAAACAATTTGCCTCACTGTGACAAGGGTAATTTCTTACAAAGCTGTTGTATTTGATGAATAAGAAGATTGAATCATTATATAAGAACAAATATGGGCTACCGATCAACACTGCGTCTAGATATGTGAGTTGGAAGTATACCTACTGAACGTATAAGTAAATACATGATCGTGTTCATTCTTAAAGAAAAAGTACACAAACTTACGCGCGTAAGAAGGTGGTTACCGGGCACGGCATGCGTCACCTTTGTCTCTTCCTTCTTTTTCTCAAATGATTGGTTTCTATGTCCAGCGTGAATTGTAAGCATTACTAGAAAAGCAAGATTAATTTGACCTAATCTGTATATGTCGTCATCGTAAGGAGGAAGCCGAGGATCATTAGAGGTCAAAAACAGCAGAGGCTTGTTGCTGAAGATAGGACACTCCATATTATTGCTACTAGTCTTTGTAGAGAAGATGCATTGAGGGAGTAGAGGGGTTACGCGCAACTTCGACCCGTCACTGAACAGAGACGTCCTTCTCATTAGGAACTAGGCTTAGACACTGCACAAGCATAACGTCCGTTCTTTCTGATAGTCCGTTCCGTTCAGGACAAATTCCTGAAATGTGAAAATAATACAGCTTTATCATGCCGGAGCAATTATTGATTATTCTAGGCTCCGAATTAGAAATAATGACTAACGCTGTTCAGTTCACACTATTTATCCTTATACCGATCATCAGTTTCACCCCTGTGCAAGTCCAAGCAACGAGTTGCGTACGGGGTTCCATCCGAGGGCGAGGTAAGTTTATTCCTTATTTCAATTTTAAATATAAATGAATAATGTGTTTTTTTTTTCTAATTCGCTATCGTTACGCAGTATGTAGAAAGCTTGCAATACTTGGCACACTTCGAACGTATCAAGTCGTATTATATAACATACTGTTTTGCAAAGCTCAGGCTAGAACGTTTTCATTAACTATGGTAAATCCAATGGACCTATATATACTATCTTGTCGGATCCAGTAATCTCTGATTATGGGAGGACGTAGATCTGCTAAGATTGTATTCACTACATATCATGGTGATAACCGAGTTGTCTACTTGAAACTTCACAGCTTAGAGTACCAAAAACTGCACAGGAAATCAGATTTATAAAATGCGTACGTAATACGTTCGGCCACGATATGTTCATATCTCTACGTTTGTAATATAAACTATTACATAAGGCCCTATATCAATTAATTTGACCTTTAGGTAAGCGTTCTTTGCGACGTTGAGGCAGACCCCGATGACGTCGTCTTCCAGTGGGCTTTTAATTCGTCCCTCACCGGAAGAGTACATAATCTCTCCGTAACAGACAACACGAAGAATGTCTACAATTATAAGGTACGATTCACTAGAACGACAATCAGACCTTTTCGACGGTACCCTTTGCAAAAACTGGCCAACGATGTTTATATGAAACAAATTGGTATTTTATAAAGAGGGCTAATTTTCAGGTATCAAACCTCCAAGTGAGCTACGGGATTCTCCTTTGCTGGGCGAAAAATTCCATCGGAATTCAGAAGGAGCCTTGTCGATATCGAATTGTGCCAGCTGGTTAGTATGCTCGGATAAAGTTCATGACTGTCGCTTACAATATCTCTTCTGTCTGTACTAAGCGGACCAGATAACGTGTCAAGAAAACTCATCGCATCAAAAACTAGTAAGGTCCATAGTTGAGAAAGGAACGGTGCTTTTCATTAATTTTAGTCCTGATCCCGTGTGACGACACGGATTAAGGCTGATGTCAATAAGGGGAAGGCCGTCCCAGTTTCTTCGTGCTGGTCACCTTTAGTTCGCCAGCGAAAAATAATTCTCTCGTTCATTATGAGTGTGTTATTGTGGGCAGATTCGCGGTCTTGATAAATTTGAACTACACGACCTTTCGTACCTGAATTTCATCGGAATAATTTCAAACGTATCCTGGTACGTCTACTTCCACTACGGTTTTTTTTTAGCGAGCTACTCGACATGTTTATTAGTTAACCTCTAGTTGTGTGCAGCGGTAAATAAACCGCTACGAGAGACCAAACGCTTAGCCCGATGCAATGAGCAGATTTGTTTTGTTCGATAGTCCTCGTATACTTATTAACTACGGTTATATAACTAATGTCGTACTAAGTCATTGTCCTTATAGCAGCAGGAACAGCAGGAATTAGTCCTATTAGGCGTACGCTCCAACCTTTTCTTTGTAGTTGCACCCTCTGGCGCTTTTCCCATTGTAGGCACGACCACTTATGCTGCAAGAGACACAAATAGACACGCGCGCACACACGATAATATTAGTTATCGTAATATGTCAAGATAGTGTTATTAATGCGAACCGACCGGTCGATATAGACCTCGCGTCCATTGTGCGCCCCCTTCTATTAACAAAGACGATAATAAAGCAGAAGCCAAACGAAAGTCTACTATCGGATATATGGGCCGTATTGGCATTGACATGATTGCAGACGTCGTATACGGAAACTAGGGAAAAACAGACATACGTGTTCGATGATTCTGTACATAGTACACGTATTCTCTTGTATGGTTATAGCATCTTCATATGTGAGTGCAGCTTTGCTGTTGTCAGTCACCGAATTTTTAACGAAACTGCCTTTTTTAATTGCTCAGATATAGTTGCTATATAGCAGATGAATATTGTGTGAGAAAGGCGTTACGTGCGGAGCTTTCAACCTGTCGCCCGAAAAGAAAATTTTACGTGAACCGTCAGCTAGGGTGAAGGGACCTAATCAAGTGACGTCCTACTCTAGTGCGTCACCGGCCTGATATATTTGGCTGAGATGATTGGATATATTTACATTTTTAGCGTACCTTCAATCGGGCTGTGAAACGCTACAGGCGTTATAGTTCATTAAAAAAGAGAAACTGCTGCTGGAAGGTTGCCGCCATAAAAAAGAAATAACAGAACCTTTACTAATTTATCTATATACACAGATATAGAAGGACGTATGTACGTGATCCGAGATAATTGTAAACGCATAAGTAAAGCTATATTATTTTTATATGAACTATAATACGAGTGCGTATGAGTAACGTGGGGGTCACACGGAACGTGCGAATATGTGCGCTCGCATAGCGAAAAGAGAAAATCGGAATTGGTTGAACTTTGGTGCTTCATTTCATTTCATTCCATTAGACGATTGAAAATGCAGCAGTTTCTCTTCTGACCTGATCCATTAATTAATACGATCGCCAGCATCTGTCCTTCCAAGTATAGTTAATAGATTCTACAGCCAGTGCTTCTCAGAAATGTTCACTAGGACAAATGCTAATCGAAAGGACCCTAATATTAATATATAGTAGCATACATGACTTAATCAATAAAAGTAGATGGTGTTCTAAAAAAAAAAAAGCAAAATATGCTTAGAACTGAGAACCCCTAGTTCGAATTCTGTAATCGAGCATGTCCCTTTGAACGACTCATAACTTAATAAAATGTTTAATAAGGCTAAAGAAAAGAAAAGAACGACAGCTTTTGCTAATACCCGTTTCTTTTCTCTCTCGGCTTTACTCAACATGACTACGTTTTGTATGGCACGTACATGCACTATAATCGTGTATAGAAACGGAAAGCAAGAAATATATTCGCAGTAGTTATTTTTATCGTACCCTTTCCGCGATTAAGAAGCCACTGTACCATCTTTGCCAAGCCTTTAGGTCATGAACTCCGTGTCAAAAAAGAAACAGTAATTAGAAATATACCGCAGTGTATTCGTATATATGGCTGTTAATTGAGCTTTAAATGCTAGCTGGTAATTACTCTGTACCTTATTCACAATCCTTCTAGGGCCCCCTGACCCTTTGGTAAACTGCACCCAGATCAACGCGACATCGGCTTCGATAGCTCTGAAATGCTTTGAAGGATCGTGGGATGGCGGACTCAGACCGCTAAACTTTTTTGCTCAGGTAAATTATCAGTGGTCAGCAAATCGGCCCTTGCCTACTGCCTACCTGCATATTTTATTAAAATTCGGTTAAATACGATGAACACCTGTTCACGTCCATTAGACGGACTAAGTCAAATCACTTTTAACAGTATTTTTTCTCTCTAAAGATTGATTTTAAATAAATGCAAATGGTTATTGATTACGCGCGTATGTCTCATCGATTCTAGGTACCCAGCACATTTAGCAGTGGAAGCAAACTACAACAATGGGGTTTTGGGCATAAAGTTTTTGTTGACGCTTGCTAAGTTCAATTATTCTATCTTATACAGCGACGTTCCATGAAACACTGCATCGTCGATTGATTGCTGAAGCAGTTTTAAACATAGTGGAATATACGTATTCGATTGAGTGTAACCTCGTTTGTATTGATATTACCGACCTCTGGATTCAGATTAAGACATTTAGTGAAGTAGCTATTCTGGCATGAAATTATCTAGAATATCTAATTATATTGGGTCATTTCATTAGCCCTTTCTTTCAGAGTGTCGTGAATAAATACAGACGTAGATAAGATAACACAGAAATGGGCCTTTAGAACAAAGCTGATATTGTGATCGTAAATATACCCGTGCAAATTACAAGAAAAAAGAAAATAGCACGGATAACGAAGGATGATTTGCAATTGAACCTAGCCATTATAATAGATTATTATAGTAGAATAATAATAATATAGGTACAATGGAACGTCTCACGCGTTCCGTAACGTAACTAAGCTTCATCCATGCCAATATTATATCGGTCGAAAGAAACTAAAATAAGCTCACTGCTTCCGTAATCTACTTTAATGAAATCCAGCAAATCTTAAGGCTTTGTTTTCAAAACTAATCTCACATCAGATGACTCTTGCCTTATAAAATCTTCCTTTATATATACAGCCGAAATCTTGAAGCTCTCCCCTTACATCCGGTTCTTTTTTATATCCAGTTCTAGTCCTCCGACGGTCGAGCTATATTCAGTTCAGTGCTGTATTTAGCAGCTCGGAAGGTAGCGGTACGACCCTCAATCGAGATTTGATCAGAATCAAATAAAGCAAAAACAATGAATTCCTGGCTTTTGTTGTTCTTGATTCGTATTCATTCCAGAGTTACAAGTACCACGCGCCACATATAATTAAAATGACCGCTATATATCCCCTTAAATGAGCATAAATGAGCCGTAACAAATTTCGAACCGATATATGCAGGCCAACAGTAGGTTTTAAACAAAATGTTTTTTGTATGGCGCCAACTTTAAAGGTGTATGACGTGGAGACGGGCGCCCTCGTCGCAAATACCTCTCACCATTCGTCGCCGTCAAATATCACAATTGGCCATCTATCGTCGGGAGCATCTTTCAGAGTTGCGGTGTTCGCTGTTAATGTCAAAGGGGTCAGCGCCCCACACGTCATCATGGCGCAAACGATGCGGCAAGCTCTAAAATACACCGGTCAGTCAATAAATCTGTCAGTGAAAACAAGTTTAGAAGTGAGAAAATATAACTTATGGAGCATCCTTCATACCCCAAGCTTCTCTGTTGATATAATTTATTATAGAGACAGTTATTTCTGATTTATGTTCTTTTGCGAGGCAGAAGCCGATTAATCTGTGCCGAAGAGTTACAGAGTTATATTTTTACTTATTATTTTGCTTTCTATATTTTATTCAATTTCAGAACATGAAGTAATCGTCGACCTAAATCCGATATTGATCTTTGTCGCTCTTGCGGTTCCACTTACATCCGTCATTTTTTTTTTCATTCTTCGATTTAACTGCACAGCAAAACGTAAGTAGTATATTTGAAGTTGCTCTGATTCGATATAGATCGATGCTTACGAGCATAGAACTTTGAACGACGATGAAAAGTACAATACAGAAGAATGGATCTAGTAGCTAACTTAAGAGTTTCACCCTCTATTTTCTTGTCCCCTTGAGCGTTTGCAAGTAGCAATCGTAAATAGTCATCAATATCCATCGAGAATTGACTTTCGGGGTTTGTCTCAAGACTGTTTTTGGCTGGTAATTATCGCCAGCGTACAAATAATACCAACGATAAAAACGCATTGAGGCACGTGCTAACATCAGAAATGGGCCGACAATTGAACGCAGACTAATCAGTCCTCAATGAGCTTTTGTTATGGTAGTTCTACGTTCCTGTGTGTAGATACGCATATTCTGCTCCGTTGGTGGCGTCTTCAACGGCCTCGCGACGGGAACTCGTTGGAATAACAGAGGCGAACACTGAAACAATACGGACCTTTGCTGAACAATAACTTGACTTCAACAGGAATAAGCAACAAACGGCTCAGAAATGATTTTCATACAGACACCATTGCCATCGATGTCCGCATTTCGTACTACGACCACAACTTTCAGCGTTGCACCACCACTGTCACCAGCGTCATGCTGATCTCAGTATCAATGGCAAGAGAAAGAAGTTCTAGTAGCAAGAGCTGCGAAATCGTTTGAAGCGGCGTCTTTTCCGGAATGCGCTTGCTGCCGTTGCCCTAACTCGACACCATTGCGCCCAGTGCCTTTCATTTTCTACTGCTCGTAATGTTCTTAACGAGCTTGTTGCCCTCGGCTGATTTGATGAAGCCTACTTGAGTCAGCAGTCAGCAAGGCATTTTTCTTTCTTGCCCTAACTAAGTGGAGCTTGTTTGCTATAGGTGCACTAGCGGCAGTAACAATAGCAACAGCAGACGCGTACGGCGTTAGCTTTTCCAGGGTACGGAACGGTTCCTCATCTGTGTTCGTGTAGCTAGCTTTCGTTAAGGTGCACTCATTACCAACTGGCTGTTGAAAAATGGCGACGTCCTCATTTTGAATGAAGTGAAAATTGAAGACTGTGTCAATATGATGACGCGCAGCTTCACTGTTGAACTTGTGCTTGTCGTAGACATCGTATAGTAATACAGTCACATATATATATATATATATATATATATATATATATATACATAAACTTATTCATGAATAAGTTTTTACAAGTCTTATTGGCTAAGAATATTACTAACTGTGCGGAAATATGAAATATCGAAGGTGCTGGATCATGGGAAATTGAATTGCTATGGTTTTTATAGACGAATCTGAGTTAATCATTTAACTCTGTACGGAAATCTCTCAGGCTAGCGTTCAATAGGCTTGCGTTGTGTTTATACTTAGATAGGCCCAATTTTCATCTAGATAGGCTTGGAGTGGTTGAATTGATTCAGATCATCTGCAGTGACCAACGGCGACCTACGGCGAGGCCCTCGTTCCTATTGATTACTTAATCCACATGAAACATATATGCAACGGAGCGTATGATCATGATGAGATAAGTCACACGAATCCTAAAAATGCATGATTTCTAACCTCTAAGCCTGTTTGTCCTGGTCCGTCAGGAGAAACTGCTGAGAAAAAATATTAAGCGCTGTTTCGCTCTTGTGACACGATACTCATTATTGCTTATAAATCCTTCTATGTCTAGAACGTTTTGAATGTCAAGGAAGACGGACAAGCTTAAAAACTCAATGTTTCACAATAGCGTATGTGATTTCCCTTTCAGTGCTTCAAGCGTGGACTGCCGAGAATAAAGTGATCGTTCCCGATCGAGGGTAAGTCATGGGTTCTCGCTTTAGCAGTCGCTCGGCTATCTATTTCGCATATTTTGAATATCAATAACAGTATTATCGGTATGTTTTGTTGAACGGTATATGCAATGTTGTAATACGCATAACAGGTCACCACTATTATAATGTGTCCTGAAAATAGCATCTGATCACATCGAAAAAGTCCTATCTGGTACCTAAGCACGACCAGCCATGCACAGGTGCAGGTCAAATATGTGTCTATATTGTTAGCGGTATCCCGCCACCGTCGGAAAAACGTTTACTCGGGTGATCTCCCTGGTTGAGCACTAAAAGGCTTATGTAATATCGTACAACAACATTTACTGTTTGTAAATAGGACGGTGTTTTCAGCCACGTAGGGAATTAGCACAAGGCTCCTCGATGTTTGTCCTATGTTGATATGCAAAAAACCTTGAATGATTTAGTTAGAGGTAATTCTGGGATTAGCGAGTGAACTATAGCCAGGTATGTATACTCACGTTTCAATAGGCATATATGTATGTCATGGAGAAAACATTAATTCATATGTCTGCGATAACCGTGTGAATAGTAGAGAATCATCGAACAGCGATGAAGGATAGGGTTTAGCCCGGTAGTCGAATCGAGTAGAAACCCCAGGCTGGTTGAAGCGGAACCTAAGTGCGCCCTCGTAAACTTTTTCTACAGCGCTTCATACTTGCATACGGCAGTCCTTAATCCTGCTGATACGGTAGGGTCACTGCAAGTTGTCGACAACTTGAAGCAATCAAAATTACGACGCAATGAAGACAAATCTTAATTGTCTATGGGAAGATGGATAACTAAATCTAGCTACTAGTGGAGCTTACGATCCCTAATAGCAATATTTCGATGTAACACGACTACGTCACAGATCAGTGCTCATATAGATTAAGGATTTGATAGTTACTCAGGATGCTTGAGCAGCAAGATATACATCACATATTATATCACATAATCCGTTTTTAATAACACGTTTCTTTCATAACTTCAATTTGTCACTTGTATCTGACCAGACGCTGAGAGTAAGCTTTCTGTTCATGCAGTGATCTTGTTCAATAGAAAAAGATCCAATAGGCTGTTCTCTGCAACATCCGCCCATTGCTTGCACTTTTAATCCGTTGGAGAAGCTCGCTATGGTCACTCGCTTTGTTCACCGTTGCTAAGCCGTGGAACTCCTGTAGCTGTCTCCTAGAACTGCCCATTTTTAACACTATGTAATTTCTAAACGTATCGAATTCAATGTGCCCTTCACACTTGCCACAGGCTGCAGTAGATCTTCCTCAGAGGCGCACATCGTTTCAACTCACCTCAATTCCCTCTAAAACATACTGAAATAGGTTGTTCGAAACATCATGTTTACATGCAGTTGTTCTAACCTAACCTGTGTGGGAATACCTCGTTTTTGACTCAAGCTGTTATGTGTTCCTACTTCAGCACCGTTTAGCGTAACTATATGCCGAGAAGTTCATGACTTAGTTGATTGATTTGTAGCATGATTTCAATAGATTTCATTGACATACACGCGATGCCTTTACTCTTATTTGTCCGCACCCCGACGAGAGCTACATGACTGAATGGCCATCTAAGAAAACACATACCTAGTCATATATTATAAATATAGAATAAGAATCCTTGATTTAGTTTAGCAAACAATCTTTTGGCTTCACGTTAAAACAAGTGTAGTATGAGACAAGGCGTTTATGTTTGTTTGGGCAAACGGTATCCTGCTGCTCTCCTATGTGTAGATGCTTATATTAGAGAGGAACAACATTTTAATTAACATGATATATTCTGATTTTTCGAACGACAGCGACGGCGACACTTCTAATGACGATGACGTTAAAAAATTGCATCATAATGGAGAAGATTTTCGATGCTATTCATTGAAGCGAGATAGCCAACAATTGCAGCAACACATAGGACCATCACGATCATTAAGTTCCTATCAACAAAGAAACTCTATTTGTACAGAAACCCCGTTACACCTTGGGCTGCTTACTCATAGGTAAAAATTGCACAAATCAACAGACGAAAAATTATTATTATTTTTTTTTTTTTTTACTAGCAATTGTGAATCAATTGATTACACCTGCTATCTGTCTTCGTTTGTTAAGTGTGATGCTTATGGTTGGCCTCAAACGGGCGCACCTTGTAGTTATAATACATATACGTGCGTAGTGAATATATGTGCTCACCTATTTTATGCTGTGGTCGTATAATTATGGTTGCGACGTAGGGATCCAGACATTATTCCACGGGAAAATGGGGGCGAGAGTACCCCGCCGCCACGGGGATTGACTGTCGGCCATCAGTCTCAACGATGCCATACGCTCAGCAGCTCCAAATATCGTAGGTTTAGAATCTTGTTGTCACTATGATTCATCGCTTTTAATCATTGAATGGCAAAAATCGACTTGTCACCAAACGTTTATGTAGGTTTTAGCTCTTACGAACACTTTTAACGTACGTTGATTTGAAAAAATTGACATATTTGCCGCATGACCAAGTTTCGGTAACGATATGCAAAGCAGAATTGTCTTTATTATTATAAATATGTATGTTTTTAATGTTATTTCTCATTTCGACGTCTCCAGGTAAACCTTGCGGCGGCGGCGGCGGCGGCGGCCGTCGTAATGATGTTCCTCATTCACCATCGAGCTCCATTCAGTTCTATTATAGCAATCTTCAGCAGCGGCCTGTGCCAGCTGTATCCGACCGCCTCACTGTTATCGAAACAGGAAACATGGATGGCACTAATTTAACCCCCATGCACCACCTTGGCCAGCATTGCAACAGTGCAACCTCTCAGGTTATTTGTGAATAAGTGAATTTCTTCTAATAGATATTTTATTTGAAAATCTATTTGTCTCAGCCGAAGCGTTCTAAGTTATATGCGATACTGTTGCATCTCTGTATGGCCGTGGCTAGAAGGCCAATTGCTCGTATAACACATTGCCCTTTATAGCGAAGGGCTGAGTATGACGTTGAAGGCTATGGCTTGATACTGAGCCCAAGACGTACGCATATGCAAAATTCGTACAGTCATTTAAAAGGACGAAGTGGTTGTCTCTGGCTTAGGACTTGCGGACTAATTAAACGAGTTCTCCGGATTCGGCGGCCTAGTGGTGCCGTTTCCACAAATCAGAAGGGCACATTGAAACGAAAAACCTTGCCAATGGTACACTATCCACGCCTTATCATAGTTTCGAATTTGTTTCGTCCAATCGAGCCCACTGACTAATAAATGCGACGAGATTTGCCTAGCGTCGGTTTTTTAACGTCTTCAATGAGCATTAGAAAGAATTTTCATTCCATTTGGGAATACGTCACTCGGCAACGGCCTCAGCTGCAGCTTCATCCTTCACGTCAAACTGTTCACCGGACTTCCTTGTCGACTGTGTTCCTGTACGTTCGAATACTGGCCATTTCATCTGCTACTTATCAGATATGATTAGCTTGAACTGAACAATTTTGGATCGAGATTTCATTCAACGTAATATAGTTAAACTTTTTAACGGACGTTAAGAATCATGGCGTCACTTGATGGTCCGCAGTAAAACAAATTGCTCCTATTGAAATAACGAACGCATGGAGTACTGGCACCTTGAAACTAATATAAACCAACGAACATATAACCTATCATGAATATTCGAGCCTGAACGAGTCCCTCATTGCATTTGATTGTAGATACTGCTAATAACAAGCGGCCTATGTGATTCTGCGAACATGTATAGCTCAGAACATAATATATCAGTATTTCATTTAAAATATACGTCGTAGTGAAAGTAAGGGCAAGTTATATAGGAGATACGCTAGCACCATATATATATATATATATAGAGAGGAGAGAGCGGGGGGGAGAGCTATATTAGATCGTAGTGCATGAGGATTTTTTCAAAAAATATGGCAAACATAATACAAATACCAGCGTCACATGCTATATTCTTAGCATCACCATAAAAACGTGGTACAGAAAAGCCCTGAACATGTTTAAATCTATGATCGGGTTCGGTAAAAGAAGACTTTGTGCTTCGAACGGTTTCGCGAAACGTAGGTAGAAAGGAAGCCGCAGTATGGGCCAAATTTCCTGCAGGCAATGAACCTTTTCATTTAAGGTCTAAACGTAGACAATCAGGTCTTCAGACATTCATTTCAGTACGTTGACGCCATTTGCATGAAGTCTGGCAATATAAACGCAATGTTTGAGAAAATTTCCTCTTTGCAATGGTCCAACAGGACTCGGCACATCCATCGGTAAACGCGTACGGTTCTCCAATTTACCAAAGGCCACTTTCAGCCTCGCTACAAAGGCGACAGTCGTTGTACTACCAGAAATCGATGATCAATATACACAATGTAAGTGGCACCCTCAACTACAAACCTGCTTTAATTTAAGGCATACTTAGACATGGACGACGCATATTGCATTTTGGACCTTCGCGATATAATTTTCCACAAATAAAATAAATAAATTCTCTATGTAAAACTTCGAGTAGACGGTGGAAGAAGTTCGAATAACTTTTTCAGAAACTTAGCCTGCCTGCTATAGCTACTGTTTACTGTTTTTGAATTTTTCCATACTTTTCCGCAGGCATACCTTTACGATAGTCCAGTTAACTCGCGAAAATATTTAGAACGAAGTAGCAACCTTAATGGAGGAGGAGGGTCAAGTGGAATCGGCTACAATACACTGCCGCTTCGACGGGAGCTTCTTAAGTCTGAATACTATCTCGAACTGACCGACGATAACGTGGAAAGTTCAGTATAGTGGCAACCTGCAAAATGATACTCAACTATCTAAAGTAAACAGGCCCTTCGAATAATAAGCTTGTCGCTAAATGAGGCGGTTCTTGCACTGAAACAAAAACAAGAGCACAACGACGGCGGCCGTAGCCATTAACTGGAACCTTCCTCCCTACGAACGTATCAAGTAGTCAAAATACTACGCCATCAGTGATAGCCAAGAACAAGCCATCAGCCGACGGGACAGCACTGGAAATCTCTTACGTATGGGGACTCTTTCAACGAAGTCCATGAGTGTGAGGTCGCTTCTACAAGTACGAACGGAGACGGCGTCTTCGGAACGGAGGGGCCACATTGTTACGCAAATACTTATGTAGATACAGGTGATTTTGGTATCGGCAGACGATCGAAGATTGATGGAAACTGAGTTAATGGACGTGGCATCGCCATTCGAGGCGGCGGGCTCATGTCATTTAAAGGGAAATAGAGCTGTACATAGCAGCGGAAAACGTAAAAAAAAACAGTAGAGGAAAGAACGTGTTGCAGGTAAATTTTTCTCAGTTCCCGTTGTTTATTCTTTAGAAAATAACCCCCACGACGGAGATGGCGATAGCCGATGTCCGGTTTTGGTAAACAAGAAGAACAAGAAGGCAATCTGCGAACGAGGAACACTATTATCGCAAACATATTGCTTACGTAGATGTCAGCTCCAATAACGTCGACTAACAAAGTTGATCCTCTTAATTTTGCATTCAGATTAGACAAATCGATGAGTCGTATGCACACAACATTTGCTTGGTGGTTATATTCTATTCAAGCGTGTCAGAATGATGTTTGCGGCAAGAGCTGACACACGTATTTACTAAAACCCAATGGGTCTATCTAGGGAAACAGCAGAGTTGCGAGTGCAGAAAGCAGCATATTCATATATATATATATATATATGACAAATTAAATGTCACTATAAACTGCGAGCTTTGTAAATAATCTCTCCGTTTTGTTGCCTCCGTATCATCTAATAATGAATTTGTTAAAAAGAAAAAAAAAAACAAATATGGCGAACATTAAAAAAACATGAATCGCCAAGTGTTACGATCTGACGGTGTAATAACAAATGAGAAAAAAAGTGATACCGTTGAGCAATTGCGCTAGTTCTTATAAACATTACATAAAACTCATACTTACGTAGTTGTCTAGCCAAAATGCCGGCTACACTTAGAGATTTGTAAATAGCCTACCACTGTAATACAATTATTATTAATGTGGAAACTGACGTATCTTTGTTGATACTGCAATTGGCGTACAGGTAAACAAAGAATGCTACCGTAGTAACTTGGTATGATGTCACCGTTCGATGCCGCTAATCATGCGAATCTAGACGAAAAAAATGATGACTATTTCGCAATGGAAAATGCTGAGATTATGAGAATTCTACGAATCTAATGAGCGTGTGTGTCCGTTTGTGTCAAATAACGGGGGTCAGGGGAACGGGGAATAACCCGGTGACGATTATCTACTCGTTCCCCGGCTGCTCAGTCGTTTTGCCAAAAAAGAAAACCAGATAAAAATCAATAAAGAAACCTCAATTTTTAACATTTTACATACGGTGTCATTAATTGATTGGATCATTGTTTTTGGAATCTGAATTTTCTTAGCATTGATACTCGAAAACCCCTGAAAGAGTGTACTTTTAGTGAAAAACTGAATTATACTAGAGCTGGATAGAAGAACGCTTACGGTCAGCCCACAATTTATGACCTAATAGGTAACTAGATAATCACTGAACCTCAGCGGGGGAATGAATATAAGACCTCGACATAACTGCGGCCTTGTAATTTCGACCGTTTCGTTAATTCGCTACTGCTGAAATTAAATATTAAGATATGGATACAAAATACACGATAGATCTATTCGTATACACGTGCGCACGATAGGAAAGCGTTACAAGCACGTAAGTCATAGGGACCTCTAGGACATTGGACATAACCCTTTGAAGCTGCCTGAATCAGTATATCGGTCGGCAATTTCTCAGTTTTCCACACAAAGATAACAATGGTTATTAGAAGTAGTGGGGCGTGACATGGGTAATGGGGGGTGCTGTCAGGTAGTATAAACACGGCGTTTGACACGGGTTCCGATAGCTGATTAATCCATTATGCTATTAACGTCAGTCTCTACGCCTCTTCTTCCAATTCTTAACCAAATTATGTATTCAATTTTACCCCAAAATTGTCAGGTTTGGGATTAAAGCCGGTTTTTGAGACCCTCCTCATCATCAAGCCCTTTGGTACCGATTTTAGTCGCAGATAATTGAAAAATGTGGACGCGACATCTGCAGAATATGGAACTGTAAAGGAATATTCTATTTAAACTCTAGCAAAGCAGCTTCAGAAACATCGCTCTTTGTAGTCTCGTATTGTGGTCGTGAACAAGGATAATTTCGCAAACTCCGTGGCGTTTTTTTTTGTCTTTTCTGTTAGACAGCATTGTTTATTCTGTACAATTAGTTAATACACAGATCTTTGTTAAACATCTTAGTTCACGATTGGAGCCTTGCTAAATCTTGAGCTGAGGCAGCATTTCTCTCAAAGAATCCTGTCACTGTGGTTCCGTTCGCCACCGGGCAGTACACCGTATTGCCCAATGGCAAGGGCTATTTTAAAAGAAAATGAAAAGTTGTATTTTCTTATGTATTCTATTCAGTTTATGGACACCCAGATTTCTAATTTCCATTAAAATTCCGTATTCTGAAAATGTTTGACAATGGACATAGCTATCCTTTCCCTGGTAATCCACGAGTTGTTCGTTGTTTATCAACCGACTTGTATATAAGATAGAGATTCAAGATCCCATATTTGAACTCGGAGACGCCCTTTTGAGCAACTGCTATGATTATAAAGTCATTTTTGTGCGCAATGTAAATATAATAAGCTGCTTCTTGGCCGTGCTGAACGGTTTTAGCCATCAAAAATTAATCGGTCCATAGATTCTAAACGTTCCATTCATATTATAATAAAATTATTACGGATTTATGTAGGGAAGACATTTGCAATATATACAAACAAACAGAGGAGACATAAAGGAAAGAATAACTTTGATTATTAAATCGAAACAGAATATTTATTTTATTCAAGTTGCTTTAATTAACAATACTTTCAGTTAGTTATAGAGGTTAATGGAATAGTAAAAGTATAAAATTTGACACTTAAGTCGACTCTATTTCTATACTCAAAACCACATAAGACAGACCCAAATAAACTATGTATCCATTGGCAACGTTCCGAAAATGACAGGACGAAAGAGGTTTTCTCGGTATCTAACTAACGAGCTGTTCGCAGTGTAGCACTTCTGATGACTTTAGGATAAGCTCAAAGTTACCGTACAAAAATATGAGGACATATAATTGGTGAAGTCAGTATTGTGAAAGTAAGTCATCAGTATCATACAACGCATAGAGCCTAAGCTGATGTTGCACTGATTGCCTATAAATAAATTCGGAGAGTAGTCAGAACTAGACGGCCTCCGGGTTCCGCCTCACCCCTCTCAGAGTGGCCCACCAAACATAGCGTTCTCTTCCGGAGCTATGTTTGGATATTGCACGTAGCTAGAGTAGTTTTTATCTGTCGTTGTTTCGCGCAGCGCCACAAGTGAGAGGAGTATTTCATTTGTGAATAATTAGATAGGAAATTGTCGTACCGATAGTTTAAAGAAGTTCCCGTAAAATGCAGCTCCACCCCAGGTGAGATCCCTCTATATCCTGGTGGACCCCTCGCTGACCGCCTCAGGCCAACAATCCTGTTTCATGAACGTGGTTGTACTTCAGCTCTGTTTTAAGTCTCACTTTTCGCCTCACTTCGCAATTGGAATGTTCATTTTTTAGGAACAGCTATTCGCCCTTTGCTTCAGAGATTCTGAGCTTCGATGACAAACGGTGCTCGTTCATATAGTCTAACGTGGCTTGCAAAAAAAAAATAAACCCCCCTTGACATAGCTCGCTACTGTGATTCGAGATTGAGAATTACACCGGGTTCCGCAGAGAGAAGGCCGACTATCGAATCGATCATACCCACTTTCTTTGATCGTTCTAGGGCACATTATCACGTTGGCTATGATCGCTTTATTGAGAAGCGGATGGAATTGATTAGAGCTGATAAACATCCTTTGAAGCTACGTGATTAATCGTAGGCCGTTTTTTCAAAACTAATCGTATCCTCAGTTCCAAAGGAGCGTGCCCATACTGTGTGTGCGCCTCAAGCAGGGCTCCCTTCTACGAAGTGTTTTTATTCTAGACACAACAGGCGTCCTTACCGCCGGTGCTCAACGCACACTTCATTTTGATGATGATGATGATGGTTTTGAGCTGTAGAATTTTTCAGCAATGACTAATATCGTTCATTGCTTTAAACAGGTGCTAAGTGCCGTACCCAGGTGGTACTCTGCGAACGTCTTGGTCATAACCGAAAAAATCAATGGATACATTGTAGCCAGCTTAAATAACATCTAGGCATCATTTCAGTCCCCGCATAATTAGACCGGGGCCAGTCATCGCTTGCGTAATTCATAGACAAAACTCAACACTTTCTGTGATTCCTATTCTCATGCTCTTCAAATCCATTGTTCTCATGTTTAGCGATAAAAACCTATCGAGGTTATTGAACGAATGCCAAATCGCTTTCTTCGAGAAGTGGGTGCGTAGATCCGGTGTATAAGATAGGCCACAAAATTTCCTATGTAGCCTACTTTGATTTGTTTGATTGACACTTGCTACCATGTTGGAAAATACACTTTATGGCTAAGATACGGTTACAGCATTACGAGTGCCCTATCGAAGAGAGCTCGTGAACTTCCCAATGGCAGACAGTGTGAGTTCTGCAAACAAGCGTGATGCAGTACAACTGTTTCCAATTCGTTAATGCGATAAGGTTTACTTCGACCAGAGTATGCCACTGTGTATAGATCAGAGACGGTAGTCAAAGTTGCACCAAGGTAAAGGTTAGCGCCGTCACATGGACGCCGACACATGGTATGATTTGCTTTTACGGACTGTACAATCGTTCGTTTGTGCTCTGGTTCGCATTGGGAGAAATACTTTGGCTAGTTTCGAATCAATGATAAATGCCTTCTTTTGGACGTATCGCCTTATTTGGCCAGGTGTTAAAAATGAACCGCGTGGATCGCCCAGTAAAAATCAGGTGAGGCGGTTTCTTTTTTTTTTTTTCGAATAAAATCTACCCTTCGAACGCACTTAACAGAAAGGAACTTGAACACGAATAGCTGAAGCAATTCCATCCATAGTATATTCTAAGTAGCAGGAAAAGGTACACACCGTATCTGTTCCTTTGAAATACACCTTGACGCTAAGCCATCGCGAATAATTGACGGCAAATCACTATATTATCATTCCAATTACGATAATAAGGTTTTATTCTCTGTTAATGGCTCAGTGTTTCGCTTTTAGGTTGTCGCTTCATTCACATATATAAACACCAGCGCACCCCCACCCCCGCCCTTGAATCGTGTTATTGGCCGAGATAATTTTAGAGCAAGTCGATGTCGGGGGATAAATTTTAAGAATTTTACAAGTGTTTCAACATGAATATGTATCATAGGAAATTTGTCCAAAGGGTGTTCAAGTTTAGCTCGCTATATGGAATGAGAAACCGATACCGCTCCAAGGGCAAGGATGCTTGTTGTTTAACAGGTAACATGGTTGTTTCGTGGTGCAAAGGCGCGAAAAGCCTTTGACATGAGAAATCAGAAGCTAATCGAACAGGTCGTTAGGAGACTTCCTCGACGACAGATAGTTTGTCAGGTTCATGGACGTGTTGAAAGATCGCTTGTTCGAAGCCCTAGCACTAACGTGGAGTGTTTGATAGTCCAATTTTTGATTAGATAGTTTATCATACTTTAATCTTTGTGAGACTTCAGACGCTTCAAAACTAAAAAACATAGTAGTCATGCTGTTTAGATGAAGATTACATTGATAGACAGTGGTAAAAAGCAGCTTATTTCTACGCACATGATTAATGAAGAGCGAAAAGCAGAAAATACGCTTAGCGAGTAACGTAGCACTCGTGCTGGCGTATCTGGCGTCTCTACGCTCGAATTTATTATATCTCAGAAGTTACTGAAGCCGTTGCGTCTGCTGGCAAAAGTTATACTCTATCGATTAACTAACCTTAATAGATAGCACAGTCTATTCATATGTACTAGCCAATATGACGTTTAGGCGTTTAGCGTTAGGAAAAACAGAGTAATCTCGGTTATGCTAAGCAGGCGTTAACGCACTGGAAATTGCCTGAAATAGGTCAACTTGAACAAATCGTCTAAGCTATGGGTTGAATGGTGACTGATTTAGCTTTCTCAGGCTAGGAGTCACTTTTATTTGACTTTATGATTATGTCTTGTGATAAAAAAAAAAAGAGGCGATAGCAAGTACTTCAACAACTCAATATCAATATGTCCGCAATGAAACCCTTCACACACAACTCGTACCTGGTTGAAACGAATAAATCACATTTCACTAATGAGTGTTCTACATGATCGGCATCTGTTGGCCAGGCTAGATGGAGCTCTGCATCTATATTT